GAATATATTGAACATCACATAATTTCTTAATGTAATCTCCATATAACTTAATAACACCAAGCCATAAATTTGACAATCAAAACCATATATTACAGTCTTGATACTCTATCCCATTCTGTGTCATTTCATGTATCATTATTTCTCTGTTAATACTTAATTAACCCTGAATTCAGATTTAATAGGTCAAATTCTTATATTGGTATTTTGAATCTACTCTCATGGCAGGTCTGAATTTCTTGCCATAATTTTATCTCTTAAAATTAAATTCAATATATCTACTTACTTTCCGTATAAATCATAGACTGTAACCCTGAATTCAGATTTCCATACAGATTGTTTGAAGGTGTAGGAAGCTAGACAAATATTTTTAAGTGGATTAAATACTTCCATTGGCATTGTATAATACAAGTTTGATTACTGCGAAAGCTAAAAACAATATTCAATATCATGATTTGTTTGTGATCAGAATAATAAGAATAATTATTTCATTCACTTGAGTAAAAAGATTAACAAAAATATTAATGACAAAATAATGTAAACTTCTATTGTTTTGAAATGAAACATATTATGTAAAATACTTTTTCCCGAAATTCGGTACTCAACTGATTAGCCTACCATGTGTTCATTATAATAATCTGTGTAATTTTGAACCGCTAAAAAGGATGAGTATATGTGGTCATGATAATTAAATGTCCTAGTGTTACTTTTTGTACCGGTACCTTATTACGTTGCAATACCAACACCAGATTTTGCAAGATTTCTCTTTGTAGTTGTTATCATTAGGCCCTTGGCTAGAGAGAAGCCAGGGGGGTCTGAAAAATTTAGATGGCTTAAATGACTTGTTGAGTCCCCCTTAAAAACATTTGACCCCCCCTGAGGCCGTGGGCCGCTACGGTCCTGGTTATCATTTCATCAAAACAGAACAGAGTACCGGTAATGCTTTATGTATATTTATTTTTAAAAAAAGTTGTGAAAATATGACATGACATCTTCCAACACAGAGGGGCAGAGGCTGAGGCCTGTTGAAAAATGTCCATTAAGGTTACATGCAATTCTGATCAGTATCTGTTTGACAGTAAAGGGCATGTCTATTTTTAGTAACATTAGATGAAAACCTTGACAGTTTGACATCTGCTTACCTGTCTGGGGACGGCTGCACTTTTACATTTGGTGAGAATTGTCCAAGCGCATGATCCTATACTCTTCAGTGTAGAGTGTCGTATATAACACAGATTTTCAAATGGAAACAGTAGAATTACACATAATTCATCGATTCGCTTATCTAATCGATGCAGGTTCCGGTAAAGAAGTCGGTCCGAGGTAAATCTGTTCTCTGTATCTGATTGGTCAAAACTCAGCTACAACGTGATTCTCACGAAAGTGTTGTTTATCTTTGAAGCGGGAGACAAAATTTTGATGATTTAAGCCACCATGGTAATTTTGCCCAATTTCCCCCCCCCACCAGAAGGTATAAGGTCCCACCAAGATAACACTTCAGCTGTCATCGACAAAAAGGAATTGGGCACCGGCCCAATTTACATAGCAGAGAGGTCCTTTAATGTTTATTATTTATCTCTATACATCATTACATGTG